GTCAGGGGAGGGGGGTGGGATTGGCAGTTGAGGGAAACTGCTAGGGGAGGGAGGGGCGTACCTAATCAACAAGGGTACCTGCATATTTAACATTTGTATACCTAACCCTGAATTATACCCCACATCTTTATAATAAAAAATAAAATAAAATAAAGTACTGTTGGCAACTGATTGTGCCCCTTTCAAATGTACATGTTAAAGTCCTAACCCCCAGTACCTCAGAATGTAACTGTATTTGGAGATAGGGTCTTTCAACAGTGACTAAGAGGCCGAGTGTGGTGGCTTATGCCTGTAATCCCAGCGCTTTGGGAGGCCCAGGTAGGAGGATTGCTTGAGGCCAGTAGTTCAAGCCCAGCCTGAGCAACATAGTAAGAACTCATCTCTAAAAAAAAAATAAGTTAGCTAGGCATGGTGACACATGCCTGTAGTCCCAGCTACTCAGAGGCTGAGGCAAGAGGATTGCATGAGCCCAGCAGTTTGAGACTGCAGTGAGCTATAATCGTGCCACTGTACTCCAGTTCAGGTGACAGAGTGAGATCCTGTCTTAAAAAAAAAAAAAGGGAAAGAAAAAGAAAAGCGGCGAATAAGCTAAAATAAGGCCAATAATAATAATAACAGTGATGTCAACAATCCAGTCTCTCCTCAGAAGAGGAAACTTGAACTCATGCAGAGGGCCCCAGGGGAAGCACCCACAGAAGGTGACCACAGGCAGAGACTGCAGCTGGGTGGCTACCCAAGCCAAGGAGACAGGCTTCAGGAGAAACCCACGCCTTTCTGAGACCTTGGTCTTAGACTTGCAACCTCCAAAGCTGTGAGAAAGTAACTTTCTGTTGTCTCAGCCGCCCAGCCTTGGGGTTTTGTTATGGCCGCCCTGGCAGACGGACACACGCGGTGAGGCTGCTTGACAAAGTCTGCAGCCAGCGCCCACAAACTTCCTTCTGCTGGCGTCTAAGGACTAGGGACCCCATCGCACTGTGGTGGAGGGGCTGAGACTCCACTTCTTTCTTCCCTTCTTTTTATTTTTTGTAGGAATGGGGTCTCATTATGTTGTCCCAGCTCATCTAGAACTCCTGGCCTCAAGTCATCCTCCCACCTTGGCCTGGGATGACAAGTGTGAGCCACCGTGCCCAGCCAAGCCTCAGCACATCTAACTGGCTCCCAGGACATGTGGACACTGCGATTGACTCTGCCTCCAAAGTCCAGGCTCTGGCCTCAGCCCAGGCCTGAGTTCACCACAGAAGAGAGGGTCCCCTAGGTAAGAGGGACAGGTAAACTGAGACACAACAGGGAATAGTGGGAGACCAGTGGGGACTCTGGGGAGCTGCCTCTGGCAGAGGGTGGAGAGAGTGAGGAGGGACGGGGAGTCCATGAATTGCTGTGTCAGTTATAATCTGTCATCTCCTGGGTGCCTGCTGTGTGCCTGGCACCGTGTGGGACAGTGAGCCACAGTCTCTTATGGGTCCATGCTTAATCCTAGCAGGAGAGAGCACTCAGGTCCTCAACAAAAAGAGCACAAAACATCACATGCACACAACACACATATTACTAGAACTTTGAATAGGCTAACTTGATAGCCAACCATCATTGGTATTAAACAATTACAGGTAAATGTCAATTTACAACACTGGTGTGATGTTCTTTAAGAAATAATATGTGGTCAGGCATGGTGGCTCACGTCTGTACTCCCAGCACTTTGGGAGGTTGAGGCAGAAAGATTTCTTGAGGCCAGGTGTTCAAGACCAGCCTGGGTAACATAGCATGATCTTGTCTCTACAAAAATTTTAAAAATCAACTGGGCACAGTGGCATGCACCTGTAGTCCCAACCACATGGGAGGCTGAGGCAGGAGGATCTCTGGAGCCCAGGAGTTGGAGGCTACAGTGAGTTATAATTACACCAATGCACTGTAGCCTGGGTGACAGAGCAAGGTCCTGTCTCAAAAATAAATAAAAGTAAATAAAAATAAAAATAGTGCATGTTCAATATTCTTTAGTCAAGCATAAGAATGCTTTTCGCACATGGCAGCATGATATTTACAGAAGATGATGGTAAGGTCCTTCTGTTCAAACATATAAGATAGATAAAAAGCAATGAAATAAATTATCAGTATCAGCCTGGGCATGGTGGCTCATGCCTATAAGCCCAGCACTTTGGGAGGTTGAGCCAGGAGGATTGCTTGAACCCAGGACCAGCCTGGACAGCACAGTGAGACACTGTCTCTACAAAAAAATTTTTTAAAGTATCTGGTTATGGTGGTGCATGCCTGTAGTTCCAGCTACTCAGGAGACTGAGGTGGGAAGATTGCCTGAGCCCAGGAGTTTGAGGCTACTGTAAGCTGTGATTGTACCATTGCATTCCCAACAGGGTAACAGAGGGAAACCCTCTCTCTAAAAAACAAACAACAAACAAATAAACAAAAACCCCACTCCCCTCCCCAGCCAACTGCTGCTGGCTTCACCTCTTCAGCTTGAATCTCTGGAGTGCCTTTGCTTCTGGATAAAACCCAAGCATTGCAGGGAAGGGTTACCACTTACACACTGTCAGGACATTTCCATTTCCAGGTTTGGTGTGGCTGGAAGAGGCAGAGGTTCCAATGTCCCCCAAGGGAGTCTGGAGGAGAGCCCTGAAGAGGACAGGACTGTGCAGAAGTCCCCTGTCCCAGAGGCCCCACCCAGTCATGGCCAGCGCTCCCCTGTCATGATGGACAGAGCACGTACCTGAGGCACCTGGTCTATGCGAAGCTGCTGGGGCAGCTTCAGGCTCAGCATCCTGGAGCCAGGCTGGCCAGGCCGCTGGGTGGCGGCCCCTTCCCCTCGCCAAGCCTCCATCAAAGCCTCGACATGGCCAGGGTGTCTCTGGCCAGCCGGTGCCCGGACTGCCGCCCTGGAACAGGAGAGCAGAAAGAATTCTAGTCAGGCTCAACCCAACTCCAGTGGATCAGGACGGCTTGTGCAACTGCTGAACACATGCTTGTTAGTGGTGGCAAAAGATCAAGCACCTTAAAAGCAGCAAAAACAATCAGACTGCCAGCCTGGGCAACATAGCAAGACCCCATCTCTACAAAAAGTAAAATAAAATAAAATAAAATAAAAACTAGCCAGGTGTGATGGCTAGTAGCCTGTAGTCTCAGCTACTCAGGAGGCTGAGGCAGGAGGACTGCTTAAGCCCAGAAGACTGAGGCTGCAGTGAGCTATGATCATACATTCCAGCCTAGGCCACAAAGCAAGACCCCAACTCTAAAAACAAAACTGTCAATTGCTAAGTCACTCACTGCGAGTGCTGGAGGGAGATAATTCAATCATGATAAAGGTGACTGCTATGGTCTGAATGTTTGTGTCTCCCCAAAAGCTGTATGTTGATCCTAACCAACAATGGGGTGTTAAGGACGGGGGTCTTCAGGAGGGATGAGGTCTTGAGGGAATGGGATGAGTGCCCTCACAAGAAAGGCCCCAGAGAACTTGTTGTTCCTCCCACCACGTGAGGACACGGCGAGTTGATGCTGTCTGTGAAGAAGAAGCCCTCACCAGACACTGCTGGCACCTTGACCTTGGACTTCTCAGCCTCCAAAACTGAGCAATACATTTCTGTTGTTTATAAATGATCCAGTCTAGGGTATTTTGTTAGAGCAGCCCAGATCCAAGGTCCAACAATTAGGTTCACAAACCATCCTAGAAAAAGTGCTTCATCCCTCACTGCTGAATATCACTATGGTCACCTTCAAAGTCTTCCCCATTTGAAGCCATGCCCTGACGCCAGTGCCCAGTCTACCTGACAAAGCAATTTTAGAACTCTTTTTCTGGAATGGCCATCAGAGCTGCTGTCGTTGTTTGTTGAGGTATGACTAGTTCGTGAACTTGCCACCGTGTGCTTACGTTGGCAGCCCTGTACACATAACTGTCTTGGAACACCCTCTCTGCTCACCTACTCTGACCCCCAGTGACTTTTTTCTTTACCTGAAGATAAAGGAAATAGTGAAAGGAAGACAGTTGATGACATTCAGGGCATCAAGGGTCGTGTGATGACAGCTCTAATGACCATTCCAGAAAAAGAGTTCCAAAATTGCTTTGATGGGTGGACTAGGCAGTGGTGTCAGTGCACAGCTTCCCAAGGAGAGTACTTCAAAGTGGCCATAGTGATATTCAGCCATGAGAGATAGAGCACTTTTTCTGGGATGGTTTGCAAACTTATTAATAATTGTCGGAGCCGGGCTCGGTGGCTCAGCCTGTAATCCCGTACCTTTGGGAGGCTGAGGTGAGTGGATTGCTTGAGCCCGCGGGTTCGAGACCCGCCTGGGCAGCGAAACCTCATCTCTACAGTAAATCAAAAAATCAGCGGGGAGTGGTAGCGCATGCCTGTAATCACGCCTACTCGGAAGGCTGAGGCGGAAGGATCGCCGGAGCCCAGCAGGTCGAGGCTGCGGTGGCCGGGAGCGGCCACTGCACTCCAGTCTGGGCGACAGAGTGAGACTCCAACTCCAAAAATAATAAGAAGAAGAAGAATTGTCGGACCCCATAGACTAAGACAGCGATCATAAAACTGCTGAGCTGGAAAGGTCCCCAGTGGTCACCCAGGCCCTCTTGTTACACATAAAGGCAGGACGGGGGGCTGCAATGTCCCCAAGGCTGTGCAGCTGGGGAGAGCTGGGTCACCCACCCTCTGCTCCACCACAGGCCACCCTGGGCAGACAGTGGGACCTCAGGTCTGTGTCCACAGAGTGGGCGGAAGAGGACAGGGAGCAGTGCTGCAGATCATGGAAGCGACTCTTCCAGGAAGCCAGCAGAGCCTGTGTGCCCTGAGACACAGAGAAGAAGCAAGCCAAGGAAATATATCCAGGGTGCTTATTAGAGACAGAGCACCCCAGAGTGAGTGATGAGGCTGCTTGAACACGGGATCAAGACTGTGGACCACGTGCGTGCCAGGGAAACCCAGCGCCTCGGGACAGGTCCAAGGAACAGAAAACCACAAGCTGGGTTTTGCAAAGATGGGCAGCGCTGGGGATTTACCGTCCTAAATGTCCTCCTCCCTCCAGGGTGACCTGGTCAAGGTCTGCCTCCTCCTTGGAGCCCTCCTTACAGACTCCATCGACCAGAGAGGGCCTCCCTGCCTCTGAAGGCTGGAGATCTTGCTTTCCCTCCCGTGTGGCACCAACATTCTGCCTGTAGTCAAAACTGACTCTGGGGCCCATCCACCCCGTAGGGAAGGGTCTCCTGGGACTGGCTGGGAAGTCAGGTGCATGCCTGCCCCTCCTGTGAACGTCAAGGGGGTTGTTTTGTTTTTTCTATTTACTTTTCCTTCTTATTATACTTGTTTATGTTGTATATGTCACTATCTGGAACTATGTAGCAAAACACAATCTGTTTCTGTTTCCTCGACCTAAATACGCTTCTTTCCTAAGAACACTGATGGAAGCGTTATTCACAGGAGTCAAAAGGTGAACAGCCCAAGTGTCCACCAACAGATGAAGGAAAGACATAGCGTGGTCCATCCATGCAAGGGAATACTAATCAGCCATGGAAAGGAAGGAAGTTCTGATGTGTGCTACGAGGAAGGACCTTAGGAGACGGTAGGTGAAGAGAAGTGACCCAGTTACCGGAGGACAAACACCATATGAGTCCCCTACACAAAGTTCCCAGAGCAGCCCAATTCAGAGACAGAAAAGAGGCTGCCAGGGAGTGGGGAGAGGGAGGAGATTTAGTGTTTAATGGTGCAGGGTTTCTGTTTGGGAAGATGACAACATTCTGGAGACGGTTGGTGGTGATGGCCACACAGCAATTTGAATGTACTTGATGCCACTGTGTACTTGACACATTTAAAAATGGTTAAAAGGGTAAATTTTATGTGACGCCTATTTTCTTGCTTTTTTTTTTTTTTTTGAGTTGGAGTCTCACTCTGTCATACAGGCTGAAGTGCAGTGGTGTGATCATAGTTCACTGCAGCCTTGACCTCCAGGGATGTGAAACCGGCCTGGGCAACATGGCAAGACCTTATCTCTACAATAAAATTTTAAAAATTAGTCAGGCATGGTGGCACGCGCCTATGGTCCAAGCCACTTGGGAGGATGAGGTGGGAGGATCACCTGAACCCAGGAGGGCGAAGCTGCGGTGAGCTGTGATCCCGCCACTGCACCCCAGTCTAGGTGACAGAGTGAGACTCCAATTTCTAAATAGATAGATAGATAGATAGATAAAAAGAGACCCCAGAGCACTCTTCTGTCATGAGAGGACATAGCAAGAGACACAGCTTCCATGAAGCAAAAGTGGCCCCCAACAGACACTGCCTCTGCTGGAACCTTAATCCTGGGCTTACAGCCTCCAGAGCTTTGAGCTCTGCTTTTATGAATCATTTCTAGGCATTTGGTTGTAACAGCCTGACAGACCAAGACCCCAGGGATCATTTGGGGAAAGTCGTGGTTGCAATGGTGGCCAGGAGAAAGACAGAGGTCACTTCTGTCCCTGCCTTAACCAGGAGATGCCCACTTTATTCTGAATTATAGTGAAAATATAATCATATAAGTTCCCCCACCTTTGAGAGAGAAAATATAAGAGGCGTATGTTTTCCTTTTAAGAGGTGAGCTGACTTTGATGAAAGAGAACTGAGCCCTTGCACAAAGCACTGGGACTTGGGTTCTCTTTGCTGCCTATGAATGGCCCCTAGCTTGGAAAGGATAAGGTTGCCAAGGACAAATTTCACCTCTTTCCAATTCATCAGCACCACGACCAGCTAATTTTTAAACTTTTTTTGTTGAGATGGGGCCTCGCTATGTTGCCCTGGCTGATCTTGAACTCCGGGCCTCAAGTGATCCTCCTGCCTTGGTCTCCCAAAGTGCTGAGACTATAGGCGAAAGCCATCGTGTCTAGTCTGTGCTGGTTTTTTGTTTTGTTTTGTTTTTTGTTTGGTTGGTTGGTTTTTAAAGACAAGGTCTTGCTGTGTTGTCCAGGTTGGAGTGCAGTGGTGCTATCATAGTGCACTATAGCCTAGAACTCCTGGGCTCAAACAATCCTCCTACCTTAGCCTCCCGAGTAGCTGGGACTACAGGCACGTACGGCTATGTAAGATTGTATTTAAGAGAGGGCTCCAAAACTTTAAAATGTGTTTTAGAATAGCTTTTTAAAAATCAAAACAAAAAGAAGGTGTGTGTTATGCTATACTCTCCAGGACATGCTGAGTTCTCTGGAAATAGCCTTATAAACAAAAGGCAAATCAACAATAAAGCCACCATCAGGAATTTTCAAGCAAAGACTCAGATTCAAGACCAAGCAAAATTAGTGAAAGTTGAAGCTTGCACTTCGTTACCTCTTTCCTCCCAGGCCAGGGGTAATCATAAAATTCCCTCCCCTCAGAGAGCTTCAGCCTACACTCTGTGAGTCCCAGGTCTTGAAGGACACAGTTGACAAGTCTTATAAGTACAGAATATGTTTGCAGATAAGCCAGTGGACAATTTTTCCAACTAGAGAGCATCAAAACTTTGTAACCTTTTTTTTTTTTGAGTTGGGGGGTCTCACTCTGTCACGCAGGCTGAAGCGCAGTGACATGATCACGGCATGATCATTGCAGCCTCTACCTCCTGGGCTCAAGCCACCATGCCCAGCTAAAGTCTTTGTGTTTTTTGTAGAGATGAAATCTCACTATGTTGCCCAGGCTGGTCTCGAATTCCTGGGCTCAAGCGATCCTCCCACCTCAGCCTCCCAAAGTGTTGGGATTACAGGCATGCGCCATCATGCCTGGCCAAACTTTATAACTTCTAGAAATGCAAATGAACTCATAAATA